CCCCACCCTCCAAAAAAAAAATAAAGAATAATAAAAAAAACCTGGATAACAGGGCAAATCCAGGTCAGAGAAAGCTCAAAATTTACTCCAAGTAACCTCCGATGCTTGGGCCATTAGCCCACAAACAGCCATCAAGAGACACAAATTGTCTGACTACGGCCATATCCAAAAGCATTGAAGGCAAGTTCAAAGAAATAATGATTGGTTTGGTTACTTATGAATAAGCATGAGAGAGACACGAACATTAATTCAAGATGTGAATGAGGAAGTAAATAAAGAAGAAATTTTAGAAATAGAATGTAAAACTTTGGGAATAGTGAGTCAAAAACGACAAAAGATAAAGAGTATATATATAGCAAAAGGCAACAAAACGTGGAAACTGGAGCTGGAAGAATGCTTTCATTTTCTGTAGCCATTCGAAAATTATAGGTTTGCCTCTTTTTGAACAATCAAAAACAAATGGAAAGATCCATTCCATTGATAAGTCGACGTTCTCAACAAAATGTAATTGACATCCCAATAAGGGGTTCTCAATAAGCAATGAAAATCAACAACCGTAAAAATCAATTCCAATCACAAAGTCAAGGTTCTCACTGAAAAGTAATGTGATTGCTAAAATCATATGGCTATGTATAAAATAACTACTATCCACAAGATATTTTATGTATTATATGTAAATTCATATCAATGAGCAAAGAACCAAAATAGCATCATATATGAGGATTCAGGAGCAATGTGAGCTTCCTAAGGCATGCAAAATTTTAGCAGCCATGTAAAGATGAGAAAAAAGAGACTAAATGTTCATCAATTCAAGCTTCACTAGGCATCCCAGGGAATATATGAAGGCCAAACTAAAATAGTAAAACCCTAAAAATACTTATGTATTTCCCAATAGGAGAGTATAAACTCAACTGGAGCCATGACCTAGTGCTAAAGTGCAGCTAAATTGTGCAGTCACCAATTTCCAATCCCATCAAAGTGAAGTATTGGTAAGTGATTATGTTCTATGGGCGCCTATGACTAACAGGAAAAAGAGTATAAACGCAATCAAGCCCCATTTCTGTAACATTCCATTTCCTTGGGCAACATTTACAAGTAAATTCACGTACAAGAAGATCAAAAACTCAGAGAGTTACAAGCCAAATGCAAAACATATATACACATACAGGGAGAGAGGGAGAGAGGGAGAGAATGAAACCCTAGAGATGACGTCCTCATAGAGAGCGAGATGGGTTTGGCAGTACTTGCAACTATAAATGTTCCCTTCAAGTGTGATCACGAATAGCCTTCCCATGTCTTCCTCTGCCTATATGTTCACCTATCACCACTCACAGACACAATAACACAAGCTGCCTCAAATCTACCAAAACCAGTAGATTTTTCAGAAATTCTTGTAAAAAAAATTGATCCAATGAAGCAAAAACAAGAATCAAGGACTAGCACATTACAATGCACACCGGTATATATAGAATTTTTGAGAAACAACGAAAAAAAAAAAGAGTAAAGAACCAGAGACGAACCAATACAATATGATGACCTTCACCTTACTAGCAGCTAGAGAGAGAAACGGCATATAAAAAAGGAAGGATCACTTCACACCAATTGAGCCAAGTGTAGAACTACCATTTATACGAGTGTTCTTGTGCGTGATCATACATTTGGATTTTTACACTTGACTCCCTCAAATTCCTATGTATTTGCATTTATATTTGTATTTGTTCTACGGGCTTCACTTTTTTTGATCCTCCATAAATGCGGGATGCGTTTGGTTGCAGCAGAGACTGAGAATACATTCGTGGAAGAAGGTACGCACTACCTGGTGGGCCTAGATGCTGAATGGGACGGCCGAATTTTAGTTTGGAAATCCCCAACTAATTCACTTATTAATACTATTTATCAGACTCAATTTACTTACTCTCTAGTGTCAAAATTAACACCACTACACAAAATTAAAAGATTTAAGTTTTTTTTTTAAGCCATTTGTTTAGTAAATAATGGACTAGGGAATTGAGATGATAAACGAGTGAATCCGATAAAACTCGTTAAATAAATAGATTGATACAAGTACAACTAAATATAACATGAATTCCCTANACTTATTAATACTATTTATCAGACTCAATTTACTTACTCTCTAGTGTCAAAATTAACTCCACTACACAAAATTAAAAGATTTAAGTTTTTTTTTAAGCCATTTGTTTAGTAAATAATGGACTAGAGAATTGAGATGATAAACGAGTGAATCCGTCAACCTCGTTAAATAAATAGATTGATACAAGTACAACTAAATATAACATGAATTCCCTAACATGATTTATACACAATTTATATAACATATGAACCTAACATGAATCTAAATTTATATGAATATAAATAGTTCAAGCATGGGTCGAGCAAGTTTTAACACAGTTGAACTTAAACACAACACAAACTCGTCCCACACAGCCCATTACGAATTATAAATTATGACGTCTTGATTTCAAAATTTGATAACTCCTTNCATGGGTCGAGCAAGTTTTAACACAGTTGAACTTAAACACAACACAAACTCGTCCCATACAACCCATTACGAATTATAAATTTTGACGTCTTGATTTCAAAATTTGATAACTCTGAAATCAAACATTCCGGTGTGTGAATAGTTTTGCTTTTGATCAGACTCGGAATCAAACATTCCGGCGTGTGAATAGTTTTGCTTTTGATCAGACTAGGAAAAAAATTAATCGAGATACATATAACTTAACCCATACAAGCCGACAATAGAAGTTTGGGATGAAGCCGCACACTCCTGGCCGCAATACCAAAAAATGAGAAAAAGTGATGAATACCTAATATCATTTTGAATATCATTATATAAAATAAATTAGCTTATGCCAACGGCACATCAAAACCATGGCGAATAATCCAGTGCCGCTCCAGAAAACTACATGGCTTTCTGTGTCTATACAAGCATCTACATAGTGCACTGCGTAAAAGATTGGCTAAAACTTTCATTATTACTAACATTACATAGTATTGCTTTTTGGACATTGTACAAGAAGATTTTCCAGCATCAACACCATGAAAAGATGAAATCACAGTTTGGATATCCCAGACTGATAGGTTTGCATCAACACCAGGCCTCTATTGTGGTCCAAGCTGATATTGTCCCTTTTTATGTTCGAATCTGGTCCATCTCGGTGAAAGCCTAGTAAATTTGAAGGACAACAAACCTGTTCCCTGATTTGGTTCTAAAGCTGTCATAGGTGCCAATGACTTGCATTAAGGTGAGGATTCCCGAATTTGAGTACAAACAGGATCAATGATTTCCTGTAAAGAAACCAAGTATTAAGATCCTCCTTATTTCGGGTCATAAATTATGTCATTTTGACTAGTGGGAAACATAACACAATTAAAATAAAGGAGGGTGGGTAGTACCTAAGTTGAGTCTCATCAGAAATCTGAATAGAATGGCCTACAGCAACATATATGAAGAGATTCTTGGGTTTTCCCAAATGAACAGCTGCTGTTGTTCGGCATGAAACATAATATAGACAAGAATCATTGATCAAATCAAAGTTGCAGCCTTGGCAAATGTCCACGGGGAAGTGAAAACATTGTCTTCTACTTGAAGTGTCTCAAATGTTTACGTGCAGTTGAAATACAATTAGAACGAAATTCCACCTTGAGGAACTTTTTCAAACAGCTCCACCAAACCTTTGAGGAGGCCAGACAGTGTGTGTGACTTTCCCCCGAATTAAACCCAAAGGGATCTGCCAATGACAGAATGTCCCAAGTTAGGCAAGTTTTGGTAAATATACAGACTACAGTGTAATGCTAGACAAAACAGTCAATGGTGTTATCGATATGATTACTTCTGTTAATGGCAAGTTCAAATTATGTAAATAAATGTATTTGGAATCAACTTCAGGAAAGGAAGATATAACAAATAACTTCTGAAAATCTATGATTGACAATGATTTTACATGCTGATAAGTTTTTTTTGCAAGTTCTAATGTAGTCATGATGCTGATAAGCTTTAGCAATGTCTAAACTACATTGTTACAGTAGTAAAAGAACCAAATACTCAGATCATCAGAGGTCAAAAGGGCAATCATGGCACTTATCAAGAGATGTATCTGTCAGTGACAAATGCCAAAACATCATGCTACTAACATATAGCCCTGCCCCCAGACTCCAAAGAAATTAAAAAGGAAAGAAGTGAAGGGAGAGAAAAGGGTCTCTTCTCCTAGAATCTTCTTTTGTAACAAAATCATACTCCCCTCAATGCCATTCCTATAAATTTTTTTACCTACTTCAGCTAAGTTCTCGAGCTAAGCAGGATTTGTAGTTGGACTCGATGTATATTCTTCGAAAAAGACGTTATAAGGAACTCCTCACTCCAGAGAGGGCAACATGAGATAGTTGGCCGTGAAGAGTGGTTCTTTTAAAGTCATACTTGCAGAAAAATTGCCTTTTGGTGTTAAAAATATTTAATTCTGTTTTCTTTATGCCAAGTCTACAGTCAGTTCTGTCAGTGTGACTTTTAAATTAACAACAACACAACAAAAAACACTCAAAAGTCTATTAATGGTAAACTTATAGAAGACCCTGTTCAAGCTCAGAACAATATAATGTAAAGGATCACATACAGGGCCGAATGATCTAGAATCCACGCTAGAAGCAGAATTGTCGCCCACAACCCAACAATGCCCATCTGGAATCTTAAAAGAGTCATATGAATAAGGTGTACTTATCCAGTCGCCAGCCAAGGCTGTTATTCTCTTTATATATTTCTTCTTGTGGTCACTTGGGGAGCTGCAAAGAGGGAAAGTAAACCACAGTCAGAACTAAGTATTACAAAATTTGGCATCCGCATCATTTTCCAAAATAATACTACCAAGCAAAATTTCTTATCTAAAATTCACATGCAAAATCACATCTATATTGGTAAAAGATTGACCATCAATGCCCATGCCACTGACACGCCATTTTGGTGGAGCTTTTGTTGACAATCACCAGATTAAAAGGGCAATATAATCCATAAGGCTTGTCTGAAAAAGGTCAGATGTACACATCCTTGCCCTTGCATGAGAAGTTGAGGGTCTCAAATGTAAGATCCATACAGGCATTACCAATAGAAAAGTAGTGATATACTGATAGGGTTATGTTTCTTGCCAAGTCAACAGAACTTTGAAAGAAACTTTATCGAATCCCAAATTTGATTGCTCTAGAAGTGACCATGAAATGTGATAACATATATTGCCCAGGTCACATAGGAGCAACCTTACCACTATGCCAATGCCTGCCCTCCCTGTTTGTCGGAAGAATGCAATTCCATAGACAGGTAAACAACCAGACTTTTCATAGGTTGATGGGATTTTATAAACTGACTGTTTTTGTAGAGATAGGATTAATGTGCATGTTCATAGCAGATGTCTTCAAGCATGTTAATCCTTCAGGCCAAAGCCTGCATTTTATTATGAATCAAAGGTGAAAATGCAAGTCACATGAGGTCAACAGCTGCACAGGGGAACAAATAAACCTAGCAGTCTACAACTAGCCAAAACTCAAGTTGATGGCCTGCTAATTGATAAGTGCCACCACAGTTAATATTTCGAATTCTATTAAAGCAAACTTAAGTGATGCTAAAGTGGAATAAAAAATTTACCAGAAAACTACTATGTCACCATGTGAGAACTTGTACTTTTCAAGGCACCATTTCTCCACTAAAACGTAGTCATCTGCAACGAAACAAATTATCAATGCAATGAATAAAACCAGTAATGTACAACATGTTAATCGAGCTCTGTCTCAAAAGTTACCAGTAAATGATGCCATAGAAGTGCTGCCATAGGGATTGAATGAGGGAAACATAGAGAGGCCCTGAACATGCACAACACTGGCATAACGATCAGATATAGTAAGTCCTATGAGCCCAAATGTAAATACTTCGTAGCAGAATTCCATAGCAAATGCCGGGTTCCCATCTACATATATCCAAAAAATAGATGCATGTCAAAAGAAGCCATCTGCACCAAGCCACCAACACGTTGACAAATGAAATTAGAAAAACAAATTTTTACAGTTGCACTTCATAGTACTGAAGAATGATCTCAAAAAGTATAGCAGATAAAAACATGTGGGGCAATTTCAACCATTGGAGAAATATAGTTCTTCACTAGCAATAGGCGGTACCCATTCTAAACAGTAAGCATAAGCAAGTCACAATTTCTGCCATTACAAAAGCACAAAAAAGAAGAATTAGTTCAAGTATTTAACCGCTCGAGACTGTGCGACAATAAAACATGACTGGCTTGGTGAAATTAAAGTTCAATTTCAAAATTTGTTATGAACCCATGTGTAGAACTTGCCCTTTAAAACCGGTTTACAAGGGAAGGGTGCCCAGGGTTCATATACATATATTTAGTCTTATTTTAAATCAATTGGAGATCGTAACAGGCGGCCCGCTCTATGGACACTGACCTAATAGTATACTCCAATCATGTATTAGTATTCAATGAAATACCACTATATCCATACATAATACTAAGTCATCCTACTCTAGCCTATGTAGATCGCCCATTCTGTATTTCGACCACAAAGAGTCACAGTTCACACTGCGCCTATAATCGACGAGGTGAGTAGTGTAATGAACCCATGCAAAGAACTTGCCCCCTGAAAATAGAATTTCCACACATCTAGTCTTATATAAGATCGTAAAAGAATAGCAAATCCATTCCGTTCTTGTCTGATTTTATTTGGCTATTAGATTAAAATTTCTTGAATTGCAATCGCGTCTGTGTGAATGATAGGTACTATCAACGGTTCTTGAGAAAAACTACAAAATCTAACAGATCGATAAGATAAACAACAGAAGCCAAATTAATGGAACCATTCGATGATTCACTTTGAGGAAGAATGAAAATCTAGCTAAGAGAGAAACCCACCAGTCGAGAAAGAGAAGCACTTCAAGGATTGGCTGAGGAAGGGACCAAACAGATGATAAGAAATGGTTTAGGGTTTCGGTTGCTGTTTCAGTCTGACGAATGAGAAGGACGCTAGGAACTACGGCATAAACAACCGACATTTTCAGTCTCCCAGAAAGAGTGTTGTTCCCCTGCGGTAGAGTTTATCCAATACGGTAGTAGCCTCCTCTCCAAATTTGCCACGTCTTCTAGAGAAAAAAAATATGGAAAGTGAATTATTTTTTGGGGAAACTTCATTTTGCCCCCATGTGATTTACCCCAATTATAGATTACCTCCCTGAAGTTTTAAAATGGCACATAATCCGCTTGTGGTTGTGGGACTAAAATGCACAATCAAATTTTCCATGCAATTTAACGATCCGTATTGCTCACGGGCCCATTGTGCAAATTGGTATAAACAAAGCAAGGTGAAAGTTCAAAAATACCCTCAAGTTATCCTTTCCTTTTCTCTCTGATCTCTTTTCTTTTTTCCTCTAGTATTAACTCAACCTGAGATTTGATGGCAAGCAAAGGATGGAACCACCTTCAATGGCGATTTGGTTTCGACTCTGATTTTCAAGTTCTAGCAAGATTTTGGTTGTTTTCGAAGTTGACTCAATTGTGATTTTTGGTTTGATTCCATTTTGGTGCAATTCATCAAATTTTGGTTTGATTCTATTTATGTTTGCAATTTTGGTTCTATTCAATTTTTATTTTGGTTTGATTATATTTTTGTTTACAAGTTTAGTTCGATTCTATTTTAGTTTAGTTTTGATCATCCATTCAATTTTGACGTCCGATATTGGTTTGGTTCTTATTTTGAATCGACTTTGGTTCAATTCTGATTTTTTATTATAATTTTTAGTCTCTGTTTTTTAATGGTTGTCTACAATGGTGATGAGTGATTGGAGTCTAGGTTGGTGGGACTGTGAGTGGTGATGGTGCATTGAGTGATGTTAGTTCCTTGAGTGATGAAGGTGTCATTGTTGGTGGCAGGACTCTAGGTGGCTCTATAGGGCTCGGGTCGACACATGAAATAATGAAGTCGTTGGGATGTCCAAAGGGCGCCGAGAAAGTAAGCCGAGCTATGGTGACACTGAGTAGCCGGGTACGACAACTGACTTCATATTTAATGCGATGTGACTCCTCATTTATGGCGGAATGAGTGAAGTGACAAGATAAATAAATGCGAGTCTGTCAGCACTTGCCCTCTGGGGAGTCTAAGCCTACTGTCATAATGGCTAAGCATTAATGGCTGATACGCCGAGATGACGCGATTGGCTCCCCCGAGGAACTGTTCCCCCCAAGTATTCAATGCTTAGTTGATGTCGGATGCCGATCTGGGGGATTTAGGTACTCGGGGATTTGGCCGAGCATTTACCCCATTTTCCTAGCATTCAATAGGAGGAGACATGAGTAAAAAACACTCATTGCACGATGAATGGTGTGTCAGATGTAAGATGTTCAAATGAGACTGGAGATCTTTGGCAATTATTGTTAGTTCAGATATAAATACTCCTCAAAAAAATAGACAAAAGTACGCAAACTTGAATCAAAAAAATAGTCTATTGAGCAAAACACTTCGACTTTATACTGACTTAAGCTTCGGAGGGGATTAGCCGGGCACTCGCCTGACCCCCTTTTTTCTGACCTTATTGTTTCAGGTTCACCAGCTTGGAGATTGCTGTCTCATACTATTACAGGAATTATCTCGCACAATTTGGCACTGTTTGTGGGAAACAAAGGCATTTTTCCCGGTAGCGATCGTCTGATGGTGAACACTCAATCTCAGGGTGAGGGAGCAAGTGTACAGGCCAGGAAAACAAAGCCCATCTGACTTCCAATGGTTCGGGAGCCGAGTTCATTGGGCCAATCAGATGGAGTGGGGCATTCTTCGCAAAGAACGCTCCCTATGGATCAGGGCCTTGGGGGGGTGCGACATCATAGCCCATGACATCGTTGAGATGGTGGAAAAGTGGATGGACAAACGTATTAAGCAGCTTGAAAGGGAAAACTCCAAGGTCCAGCAACATCTTGACGATTTTGAGCAGTCAGCGAGCGCGGGTGAACATAGTCACGGGTTCGAGGACCAGGTGCCTAGCCAGAACCTGTCCAGGGCCCCCTGGCATTGGCCCTCCAGGAAAGATTGGATTAGGCACTCGCCCGAGGGACGTAATCGCCAAGGAAGGTTCTCGGCCTCCAAGGGAAAGTCAAAATTGGGCCAGAAGGCAAGCCTATCCAGGTGGGACCTGCGCCGAAGGATACCTGATGGCGTGGGAGCCGCCGAATCACAAGCGGAATGCAAACCCAGAAGGCCTCGAGAAGAAAGATCAAAAAAGGATCCTAAGGTCCCCTTCGTTGCTCAGTGTAACCATGAGCCCGAGGTCTACTCCGAAGAAGTTATCTCACCGTTCGTCCGGGCTATCAGGGAGGCCGAGATGCCAAAGAAGTTTACCGTCCCACGGTTCAAAGTCTATGATGGGAAAACTGATCTCGAGAGCCACATTCGGCAATACAGACAATTGATGTCAATCTATGATACTGACCAAAGGATGTTGTGCCGAATTTTTCCCATGAGCCTAGGGGACACAAGCATGAGGTGGTATGAGAACCTTGCTCCTGAGAGGTCCTGGAAACAATTGACGGAGCTCTTCATAGCTCGATTCATCACCAGCAGTAAGAAATCGAAGGACATCGGCGCTTTATTGACGCTTAGGCGAAAAGGGGGAGAGATATTTCGACAATATGTCGTCCGGTATTGGGATGAAGTGAACGAGGTGAAAGCATGTTCGGAGGCATTGACCGCGGCGTCATTTAGGCTGGGGCTGTCCCAGGACACTGATTTGTACAAAATCGCTGACTAAGAAGGCTCCGACGGACATGAAAGACTTGATGACTCGGATTAACAAACATGCCCGGGTGGAAGAAGAATCTGTCACGCCCAAGAGCAGGGTTACGGTGCTGAGGAAAAGGGAAAGAGAGCAGCTGGCCCGAAGGGGAGGGCCTGTTCCACCCCCAACTCGCCTATCCTTGCAGGGAGTGAACACAGTCTTCAACGAGCTTATTCACATGATACTTCTCAAAATCAAAAANGTTCGATTCTATTTTAGTTTAGTTTTGATCATCCATTCAATTTTGACGTCCGATATTGGTTTGGTTCTTATTTTGAATCGACTTTGGTTCAATTCTGATTTTTTATTATAATTTTTAGTCTCTGTTTTTTAATGGTTGTCTACAATGGTGATGAGTGATTGGAGTCTAGGTTGGTGGGACTGTGAGTGGTGATGGTGCATTGAGTGATGTTAGTTCCTTGAGTGATGAAGGTGTCATTGTTGGTGGCAGGACTCTAGGTGGCTCTATAGGGCTCGGGTCGACACATGAAATAATGAAGTCGTTGGGATGTCCAAAGGGCGCCGAGAAAGTAAGCCGAGCTATGGTGACACTGAGTAGCCGGGTACGACAACTGACTTCATATTTAATGCGATGTGACTCCTCATTTATGGCGGAATGAGTGAAGTGACAAGATAAATAAATGCGAGTCTGTCAGCACTTGCCCTCTGGGGAGTCTAAGCCTACTGTCATGATGGCTAAGCATTAATGGCTGATACGCCGAGATGACGCGATTGGCTCCCCCGAGGAACTGTTCCCCCCAAGTATTCAATGCTTAGTTGATGTCGGATGCCGATCTGGGGGATTTAGGTACTCGGGGNACGCCGAGATGACGCGATTGGCTCCCCCGAGGAACTGTTCCCCCCAAGTATTCAATGTTTAGTTGATGTCGGATGCCGATCTGGGGGATTTAGGTACTCGGGGATTTGGCCGAGCATTTACCCCATTTTCCTAGCATTCAATAGGAGGAGACATGAGTAAAAAACACTCATTGCACGATGAATGGTGTGTCAGATGTAAGATGTTCAAATGAGACTGGAGATCTTTGGCAATTATTGTTAGTTCAGATATAAATACTCTTCAAAAAAATAGACAAAAGTACGCAAACTTGAATCAAAAAAATAGTCTATTGAGCAAAACACTTCGACTTTATACTGACTTAAGCTTCGGAGGGGATTAGCCGGGCACTCGCCTGACCCCCTTTTTTCTGACCTTATTGTTTCAGGTTCACCAGCTTGGAGATTGCTGTCTCATACTATTATAGGAATTATCTCGCACAATTTGGCACTGTTTGTGGGAAACAAAGGCATTTTTCCCGGTAGCGATCGTCTGATGGTGAACACTCAATCTCAGGGTGAGGGAGCAAGTGTACAGGCCAGGAAAACAAAGCCCATCTGACTTCCAATGGTTCGGGAGCCGAGTTCATTGGGCCAATCAGATGGAGTGGGGCATTCTTCGCAAAGAACGCTCCCTATGGATCAGGGCCTTGGGGGGGTGCGACATCATAGCCCATGACATCGTTGAGATGGTGGAAAAGTGGATGGACAAACGTATTAAGCAGCTTGAAAGGGAAAACTCCAAGGTCCAGCAACATCTTGACGATTTTGAGCAGTCAGCGAGCGCGGGTGAACATAGTCACGGGTTCGAGGACCAGGTGCCTAGCCAGAACCTGNTGAGGTAGCACCCGTGATTGATGTTATTCATGCCTGCACAGTGGAGAGGCCTACATATAACTCCCTCCCCGCCGAATTACAGAGGGTCTCTCAAGCAGTCAGGGTGGAAGAAAGGGGTGATAAGTGGCCGCCCAAGAAGCCGCAGAGCAGTGCCGAGATTATCCAGTTTTCCGACGTTGATCTCAGTGGGGTGGTCCTCCCTCACGAGGATGCATTGGTGATCACTTTGCGGGTCGGAAAGTTCNTGTCCAGGGCCCCCTGGCATTGGCCCTCCAGGAAAGATTGGATTAGGCACTCGCCCGAGGGACGTAATCGCCAAGGAAGGTTCTCGGCCTCCAAGGGAAAGTCAAAATTGGGCCAGAAGGCAAGCCTATCCAGGTGGGACCTGCGCCGAAGGATACTTGATGGCGTGGGAGCCGCCGAATCACAAGCGGAATGCATACCCAGAAGGCCTCGAGAAGAAAGATCAAAAAAGGATCCTAAGGTCCCCTTCGTTGCTCAGTGTAACCATGAGCCCGAGGTCTACTCCGAAGAAGTTATCTCACCGTT